AATACTAGTCAGAGAATCCTGCATAATGTGGCCAGGAAAACTTGGCTTCTGAACAAGTTAATGATTTAACTGAGATTTCACAGCTGAAATACATTTGAGCTGATTTTCCTATCAGGTGCTCGACAGGCAGCAATTGAAGTTTCACATTGCACTGTAAGCTGGAAAAGGGTGCAGCTGGCAGAAAAACAGTGTCTCTATGTAACAGATATCAGGACATGCTGTGATGGGTTCCCCGCAGATTACCACCTAGAACTGGGGTAACGCTGAACTCCCGCAACCCACTAGTCTGGGTTCCCCTTTACACTGTATTGCTGTGACAAGTGGAAAACCCCTCTCCAGGCATCAGCCTGTATATACATACAGGTAGGGACATGCCCAGCTGCAATTACATGCAGGATCTTTGATCAGCCCCTACATGGGAAGGCTACAGCTAGCCCAGCTACCAGTTTCTTGGGTACACACTCTCTCTAGAGTATTACACCTAAAATGATACCAGCTTGCATCAGACTGGCAACTGTACAGTGCAAGCTCATGAAATTCGCCCCCACCTCTCAAGTGGAGAGGAAGATGCAGCAGCCTTTTGCCCAAGTGATGGTTCCTGCACACTTGTATAGATAAAACAAAAATAAGTTGATTCAAAATAATCTTTCTTTTATAGTTAAAGTGATAGAAACAGATCAAAGCAGATTATCTAGCAATTAATCAAAAAGCTCAAACTAAACTTAATCTACTACACAGACTGGCTATGAGTAGCAGATTCTCACCCTAAGAAATTATACAAGAAAGCTACAGATTCTTATGGGGCAAGCCACACTTGCTTACAGACTGGAATTCCCAGGTGTTTCATTTACAGGCAGTCCCCGAGTTACGCAGAGTTACGAACGGGGTTTGCTCCGCGTCTTCCTCGTCTGCTGGTCTCCAGCAGACCAGGGAGATGGGGAGCAAAGCTTCTGAGGACGCCGGCAGCGGGACAGCCGCGGCGCGTCTGGGCTGTCCGGCTGCCCCCGTGCTCCGCGGCTTTGCTCCAGACGCCTGTGATACAGTAGCTGGGGTGCTGCCGGTTGGTCCCGCAGCGCCACTCTGGGCGCTACTGGACCAATCCGGCAGCACCCCAGCTGCTCTGCCCCAGGCGTCCTGATTCAGCCACTGCTAGTCAGTTTCAGCAGCGGCTGAAACAG